CCTTCCTTCCTTCCGCGCCTTCCTTCCTTCCGCGCCTTCCTTCCGCGCCTTCCTTTCCTTCCTTTCCTTCCTTTCCTTCCTTCCTCTCTCTAATGGGTGATCACAAATGCAGAAAGGAGCAGACTGGTGGCACACAGACACCTGTAAGTAAAAGCCACCCCCACACTTAGACTTTGTCACCTTTGCCTCTGGCTGGAGTCAGTGCCACCAAATCAATATTGCACAAAGAGATGCTCTTCTGTAGTTCTCTGTGTTAATGCCARGTGTCTCCCAAACGGTGAGAAAGTCTAGTCTAGGCTAAAAGSAAATCTAAAGACCTCTCCTGAATCTCGAGTAACACATGATTTTGCTGTTTGGATTCAGGAGAAGCCTTTGGGCTCCTGCTGCAGTGAATCAGGCAGGGTTGTGCACAGCCAGCAGGCAGCACAGCTGAGAGGTCAATGGAAGGCTCTCTGGTGAGCAGGCACAGCACAAACCCAGCTGTCCTGGTGCACAGCAGGAGGACAGAGCATCCAGCAGCTCTCAATTGCTGKGGACACTTCTCTCTGTGCTTTATTTCAGGTTTTATGGCCTGCAGCTCCCTGTGGTGTTCCCTGACCCCTGCACTGGGGACAGGAACCAAGGAGCTCACTCTGCACATGAAGGCATCTGGAGGTGTCTGCAGCCAGCACCGCKTCCATCTCAGCCCTGTGGAGCCTCTCTCCTCATAAATGCTCCCAGGATCTCAGCTGATGGGGTTTTCCACCAGGCAGGAGCCCCTCTTGTCCTAAACCCCATCACACACCGTCTCCCACCACCCTCGTACCCAACAGAGGGCTGCCAGAGGCACTGGCACTGGCAATTCCCTTTCCTTAGTCCAGGGATGTGAATGAGTGCCTGAGGCAAAGCCCCTTCCCACGGGACAGAGGGATGRTCCAGCCATCTGAATTTACAGAAGTTATTTACTCAGACAGAACTAATAAGGACAAGACCAAAGGGACCTGCAAGGATTTTCCCATTGTTTCTCCCAATTTTATTTCTCTGCCCAATGAAATAAATGCCAGAAGGCCACATGCACAGACTACTAAACCATTTTGACACAAAACTTTTCAGGCTTTAAATCCCAAATGAAAGTCTGTCTTGTATTTCTGTCTGCTCYTAAACCCTGCAGTTACCATCCAAGTGTCATTCTGCATAAAACCAAAGGCTTTGAAATGGGGATGGGCAGGGAGAAAATAAGCAATGTTCTTCACAGCCTTTTAAAATTACCATTTTACACCTTGTTTTCTTATCTCAGTAGTTCACTTATGTTAGCTATAAATTTATATGCTCCAGATTAAACACTCCCTTGAAGGGTGGGATGCCAAACTATCCCGCCTCCTTGGCACTGCCAGCTGAGATCCCAAATAAGCTGTTTTGTATTTAATTATTTACTGCATGCAAGCTTTACCATTATTGCGTATTTCTCCTTTTGGAAAGGTGGAAAGAGAGCCAAGAGCCTTTCTCTCCAGTCCCAGCTCTCAGGCACACAGAGGATGTCTCCACATCTGCTTCCCTCTGCAGCTCGATTTTGGCAGAGAGGAATTAACGCGGAGAAAATAATCCGAAACGGCTCATTTTAGCAACTCTGCAGTGCTGTGAGGAGGGGAGGGAGGCCTTACCTTGGAGCTGCACTTGTACARAGGGTGGCTGATGGAGTCCACGTAGTGGTGCCTCATGCAGCGGCTGGGGTCCGAGTCCAGCAGGAARGAACTCTCTGTTTTACTGTCCGTGTCTCCCATCAGCACCAGCAGCGAGAGCATGGAAATCGAAGCCGCGAGTACATGATTTCCCATTGTCGAGCAACTTCTCGCTGGTAACAGCAGAGGGAGGTAGAGCATTAAAAACCCTCCAAATTCKAGGAGCCAGTTCTTTTCCAGGATGGTGACAAGCCTGGTTTAAGTGTCTGAGCTGTCATTCTCCTTCTCAAGTTGAAGCCCGATGAGTTTGTAATCCACCAAAGAATCTCCTGCACAGCTGGAATAAAAGCAACGTCAATCACAATCCTGATCAAAAAGACCTCCGGAGAAAAATAGACATAAATAATATTAAGRAACACAAGATTTTTGCTAGCCAAAACAGGCACCCTGAGTGAGCATCAATCCCACAGTAGGTAGGGAATGTGGCACTAGGAGGGAGATGTCAAGGCCTTGTTACTTTTAACATTGTTCTGTCATTTCACAGAAGGGSAGAACCTTTTGGCTTTTAACATCACAAGTGTAGCAATGCCATTCTTTYCCACTTCGTGACGTCCCTGTTGTGTTCCCCTCAACACTGGTGACAGGTAATACATCAGAGGTTTTTGAAAAGCTAAAAGATCGTGTATCCACTCAAAGAGTCAAAGAGGGGCAATGCCTGGCTGCCTCCCACACTACAGGCTGGAATTTCTGGCTGAGGTAGCACATGGAAAGGCTGGAGGCAGGTTGAGCTGTGGCTCCAGGGGCTGCCTGTCATTGTCCTTCAGGGACAAGGGACAGCCCCAGCATTCAGGGATGCTGAAGGTCTGAGCCCAGGCATGAGCAGAGAGCTCCCCCAGTGAACTTGCTGAGCACAGGGAACTGCCTGGTTCTCTGCTGCCCTGCCCTCTGAGAACCAAATCCCCAAAAACATGGGTGGGCAGGCTTTATTTGCCTACTTGTCAGGCAGCACTCACTCAGTGTCAGTTTATTTCCTGCTAATTAAAGTGTAGCATCTAAAAATACATTTATTGTTCCATAATATCCAAGTAGAATCCCAGCTATCAACTGGGAAGAAATGTGTTCAGGGGGTCATGTGGCTGTCTACCCAGGCATCTGGATTTCTGGTTCATGTTGGAGACCAGGAGATTCCCCAGGGAACAGGCACAGGACAGCCCCTGAAATGCTGCCCAGAGCTTCGTGCCAGCAGGGGAAGGAGAATATCCCCATCGGCTGCTTCTTCACAGTCCCTTGATCCTTCTCACAAAGCCCTTGSTCCCCACTGGGGCATTAATTACACTTTTATTACCAATAGAAATAATTTGAAAGAGCTATGAATTATCCATCTAAACACAGCCCCATGAAGGATAGTCAGAGGATACACATCAGTACAGTTAAAAGTTCAGAAACTTTCTGAAGAAACTTCAAATGAAACAGTTCCCTGCTTACAAAGAGCTGCTCTGGCAGAGCCTCCGGAGTATTTAAAGAGCTGATGTGTGCCTTTATTGCCTTATACAAGCCTCTTTCAAAACTGTTTTCTGGTTTGCTGGCAAGTCCTCTAAACTTACTGATACTCATCTCCCAAACAGCCTCCCCACCAGAGCGCTGGATGATTTTTGTGTTGCTTTGTAGCTGCAACACTTCTGTGAGAGGAGTGGCCAGCAGTGACAAACATTTCCAGAGTTCATCCAAGCCACAATGGCAGTGATGTGACATCCAAAGTCTCATGCTGGGAAGAAATGCCGTTAGGGATGCTCTGTGTGTGAGAGAGACAAAGATGCTCTGTGTATTAAACATTCTTGTTGTTGTTGTTTCGGGCAACTATCCATCTGCCTAAGTAGGAAAGGAAAAGTTATGTGACTGTGGATTTAAATGACAATATATATTTTTTTTCCCAGAGTCTGACATATGACCTGGTATATTCTCCTCAGCAAATGGGGCATTAAAAACATGCAGTGTCTCTGCAGTACAAAAAAAGTTAAACAAACAACACTAAACACTTTGGATCTCRGATACATTTATGCACAGCCTCGTTCATGTCAATAAATATCCCTCCAAASGTTTCAGCAGCATATGAGAGAAATCTCCAGTCATGGGAGCTGGGACAGGCTCCCTCCCTGACGTGAACTGTGCTACTCTAGTTCATGCAGATGATGCCCAAGGATTAGCTAACAAACAGGAGGAGGGATGCACTACTTTTTTTTTTCTCTCTGCTTAACCTTTTACCTACATTCCTATTCCTTTTTATAAAGAGGCTGACCAAAACATGCTGCTTGGCAAGGTCTCCCTCCAACATAGTTAATCATTATTACACACCCAGTAATTCCCTCTCTATCMAAAWAAATTTACTTGATATTAGACCATCTCATTTCATGTGATAGTACACACAGGGATCCCCATTTCCCATTTTCCTTGTCCCACTGTTAATTCTGTGCTCCTCTATCTTTCCATGGTTTTGATCAGTATGATTTAATACAGTGAGAGAAATCTGAAATCCTGGCTTAGTTTTCAAAGGCTTATCTCCCTCGTTTTCTTCAGGAAATAATTGGATGACACAGAGTCTGCCTCATGAAAACATTGAGAAAGCTGGAAAGATGCAGGGAAAAGTGTGAGAAAATGAAGAAGGCTGTACCTTCTTCAGGGCAAGCACAGCACAAAAAGCATTAACAMTTCCACAATCTTTTAAAATTGCCCTGGTACCTCACTAACAAAGAAATGTAGCAGGCTTTGGTAAAAAATACTTTGAAAGAAGTAAAAAGTACTGTTATTACCTATTAACAAGAAAAATGAGTGAAAATCAATGCAAATATGATCCATCTCCTGTGAAATAACTGTTAYAGTTGTTTATGGACATTCTGGCAAAACGTGTAGGTGTTCCTCCTGACACACCTATGGGAAGCATGCACATACATTTTTCAAGCACAAATGCCATATATAATATATATAATATCTATAGTATATATAATATATATAATATGTATATTATATATATATTATATATATTATATATGTAATATGTATGGAAGAAAGCGTCTTGCAGGGACATTTAAACACAGAAAAGTTAGGGTGCGGATTTTTGATTATGTAAAAAAAAGCCAAAATATTTTCACTTAAGCACATCACTGTGATGGGGTATGTTGACGTGACATTTTCCATTTCCAGCTGATATTGTGTAATGGCATTTCACTTGAACTTAGCTTTTTTTTTTTTCAAAGTTAAAATTTGCATTCCTTTTGAAATGCTGTCTGAAATTATAAAATCCTAGATAGCACATGCTATTGSGATTGGCATAAGAAGTTTTCAGTCTGTAATTCTGTCCAAAAAGAGAAGCAAGTACAATTGTGATCATAAGTCATCATTACAATGATTTTTTTATTTAAAAAAATATGCTTTTTTCTTAAAATCAACAATTTCACATAGTAATTTTGTTCTTCTATTTAATCTGGATTTTCCTCACTCTCTTTTCATGCAAAAACTGTGGTAGATAGCTCATCTGCCAAGCCAACAAAAAGGAAGCCTGAATGCTCCCTCTTGACAGCATCCTGTAGGATGACTTCATATCCTCAGGCTGAACATTTGCTACAAAAGTATATGGCCTAACGGGGGATGAAAATCACTACTTCACTTTTTTTTTCCAGAATTCACTGAGGTTTGGGAAGTRCATTTTGTTAGCAGTAGTCTTAGCTCCCTTTCCATATCGCTACTTTTCAGGATTTCATAGAGAGATAACATACTAAAAATTGTTACATCTCTTACCTAAAACTGCTACAGCTGTTAACCTGAAAACTTCAGGGAAAAAATAGAAGACATCCCTAAGAAAAAACACATTAATACACAGTCTAAGACTGTATTGCACATGAAGATATGAGCAGAGTCAGGGCTATTTTTCCAACTCTACATTCTAATTAACTGCTTCCCGAATAATGGAGATTTCTTATCACAGTTTTAATATCATTTAGAGARTGGTGAAGATTAAGGTTTTGTTTTGCTTTAAGGACAGAAGAACATTCCATCATCTGGAATTATTTAGCCAGTCCCTTTGTGAGAACGTAAACAGAAATTCCCTTTTTGCTATGTATCTTGGAAAAAAAAAATAATAAAGAGCTGAGCAATTCTCCAAAGGTCTATTGGATCTGCACAGCTTTTACCCTGGAAGGTAGGAAGGGAGCAGTGGAAAAGCTCATTTATGGTGCACTTCTAATTAGTCGTTCCCTGAAACCCCTGTATTAGGCAAGCACGTATGCTCATCTTGGCCTTCATTTACTGTGAATTTTCCATGTTTGAGACTCCTGCTTGGAGATGAGGGCACAGTTTAAGTCACTCTGTGCTTTTAATGTTTTGGAGGCTGCCAAAATCCCGTTGAAGCAGTGGTGTTGTGTATATAACTTAAGCCTGGCCTTGCATGCTGCGTGTATTTAGTAAACAAACACAATTACTTGGATCCTACCATGTGGTTCCCTCATTCTGAATTTGTTATATAAACAAAAGAGTTACAAGGCAACTCAGTTTCTCCAAACTCCAGCCCTAAGAACGTGTCACTTACCATGTATGTGTGTGTAAATTCACCTCTGCTATTCTGACAAAACAAAAAAATAAAGCCACGAAGTTCTTCATGAGACCCAATTGGATTTCTCAAGAACTTTATCGAATTTGGAAAAGTTTAGATTTTCCAGGAAGATAAGGATTTGGGGGCTTCACTCTCCAAGATCTGGACTGGAGTGGAAACAACTGTGATGGGCAAACTGCTCAGGCTACACCAGGGTTTGTTCCCCAGGGTTGAATTCTCCCCTGCCATGGCAAAGGGCAGCAGGGGCTGCTCCCAGAGATCCTTCAGCATCCACAGAGCTCAGACAGCCCCTAGCCCATGCAGCCAAGCCACACCATGGCTGGGAACAGCTTGGGAAGTGCTCTGTGCTGTGGGACTGATTGTAGATGTGACAATTTGAGCCATTTCAGAGGACAGTCCTTCAGTCAGGAGAGGTGACCCGAGATGAGATTCTCCATCTGACCCTGCTTTCTGCAGAACCAGCTCAGGCTCTGTCAGTCCCGGTGTATTTTTTAGCTCTGTAAATAAATACAATAATCATCTTATCCAACTATTTTATGTGGCTGTTCCTTTTCCAGCAGTGAAGGAGCGGGCCTCCTGGATATGAGATCAAAAATCCTCACTCCACTCTGCAGCTGCCCATCAGAACACCTGACAGAGTCACCGAGTGGCAGCCGGGCAGCAGCAGGTGAACACAGCCCCAGTTGTTTGAGAAATGCCTCCACACAGCATTTGAAGGTTTCTTCCCATGYCGAGGCAGGGCAAACACCAAACCAAATATTTTGAGTGAGATCCTCACAGGTCTAAATAACGGAATGTTCCCTCAAGGTCTTCTTATGCTGAAGAGGGTCAGCCTGTCTGACATCCATCTGCGCTAGAGCTTGTCCCCATCCATGCCAAGGGAATTCTTCATCCATGGACCAGGAGCTCCTTCCATCCTTGCMCAGCAGAGCAGTGTGTGCCTGCAAGGAGGGTACACAGAAAACACATCCCCTGGCCCAGAGACGAAGGAAAGAGGTGGAAAGAGGGAAAACAGGGTCAAAAGATGGAAATTTAAGGCTCCTTATCTGGATGTCCACAGTAGGGAAGTCCATCTTCTGGGCTGTGCTGGGGCTGGGTTATCCTGTTGTGTGACAGAAATTGCAGGGCATTGTCCCACAAAACACAAAAACATCAAAGGAACTCTGCTTCTGAGCGGTCAGAGATCTCAAACACACTGATGTGGTAAATGAGAGAAACCCCTGCAAACCATTTTTTACTGCAAGGCTTCCTTAAGCTTTTTAATATTTCAGGAGATAAAGACCTGTGGCCG